TTTCCTGAGCTGATCTCTGGCCATTGGGACAAGCAACTGTTCCCATTGATTCTGAAGGGGTTTCAACAGTGGTAGGCATTGTCACAGCCGTGGAAGTAATATTTGAACGCAGATTATAATTAAGTGCACCTGGCATCAGAAATAGTATACACAAAAATAAACACAAAAAAATATCAACTTGGCTAAAGTAAAAATGGCAGAAATAAAATTATTAAATTGGGCTAGGCAAGAAAATAATTAAGAACAAGCAAATTGTAAACTAAATTTAGCAATCTTTCATTAAAAAAATGACTGGAATTAGATGTATGTAAATTAATTAAACCAGACTAAGCACAGCAATTGAGAATATAAAAACTGGAAGTGCAATTGCAAAATTTCATTAAAAAAGATTCAACACAACAAGTGGCAATGCAAGAAATATGGATGTAGCACATAAACTGGACACAGGAATGTATATAACTCCTATGGTAAAAGTTTAAAATAAAATGCTTAAAGGATAAATTTCAAGTTAGGTCTGGAGAAATTAAAAAAAATTATATTGCACAAATCCTTAACTGCTACTAAAACAAGGATTTCTTAATTCACTGGAATTTGAATTTACCAATAACACTCTAGGAGAACAATTAAAATTCAATGAAATTACTGTAAGAAGCAGGAATGTTGAAATCACACAGGAAAACTGTGGGGAGTGCAGTACTGAACCAGCTCCAATATTTAACAAGTCACTGAATGGTTAATTCACAGGATATTATGGGAATTATTACATAAGTCACTTTTTAACACTTGGCACGTTGTTCTCAACTAGCAATTACTTATCTCAGGGTTGTAATTTATGAGGATCACCAGTAGCCAAAGTAGGAGAAGCGTCGTGAAGATCTGAAGAGGCCCATGTGAGGCGTGTTTACAAACTGGATGCGACGGCAGCGCTCCTGGCGGCGGTGGCGCGAGACTCAGGGACCCCACACTGTTCAGGCTAGAGGCACGAAGATAAATTCTGACGACGACAATATTGCGACGATGGAATAACCAGTTGATACTTGCGACGATGGCTGACGACGATTGCAGTAGCTTGCACCCTCACGAAGCTTGATACTGTCAGCTTGGGTGGCGGTGGTGGTGGTGGTGGGTGTAATAGGTGGTTCCCTCGTGGTGGCGCGAGGTTCAAAAATGGCTGGCGCGGGAAGCTTCCTTCCTCCTCACTGATGAGTGAGCGTTCTCACAGGAAAATATTGACCCTTACTTCTAAAACGTTAGCCTGGAGTAGTGGTTGATGGCAGGACCCCGGTCTGGCACAATATTTGATGCGTGGGTGGCAGGATGGCGGCTTATGGCGGTGGCGGTGGCGGCGGTTTTGGCTGGAACACGAGGCGATGCTGGGTACTGGAACTTTTGCTTCCAGAAAAAAATTTCTGGATCCCACTGCTGCTACCAGTATTCGTTTGCCTTGTTCGGGTTGAATGTAGACACAGTAGTCGCTTCTGTATATATTTATTGAGTGAGGCAAACAGGTGTATAACTGGCCAGCCGAGGTCCACCTACTCTGGGTCTGTGAGGATAACTGAGGCTGCTGGGAGCATCGCTGATGCTCCTCTGTCTGGCATGACGTCAGAGGCCTACTCGCCTGTGATTGGTTACATTTCAACTGACAGAATTTGAGTATAACAAACTCGTCATTCAGTGAAACATAAAACAATCCAACCCAGCCTAGAGAACATGAAAAACATCATCACCACAAACCTCTCACACCTCAACAAAGCCCATCTACACCAGAGAGTAGCTGAAGGTTCGTCCTTTACAATATGATATCTTCAGGCAACCAAATTAGAAAGGTTAAATATTCCAAAAGGAATCCTCAGGGAAGTAGCAGTTCGGTTATACAGTATAGACAACGTCTAGGTGACAGATGCAACTGGGAGATTGGTGAACCCAGAGTGGGAATGCATCTTCTGCCAAACAGTCACAGAAAAGCCACTACCTCATTATCTCCTGTAATGTGAAGCAACCAACGACCTTAGAAGACCTTTAAGGGTCCCTGAATCTTGCAGTAACCACCCTGAAGTCATCAACACTGCCAATCTTATGGTAATGAAAGTGTCCAGCAGCTGGACACCCTCATAAATACTGTTAAGCAGTATCCTCCCCCGCAGTAGCAGCCAAATAGATTGACGATTTAAATGCAAGCACAGCACGCAGTATATCCTTTCACGACCAAAGATCATGTTCACTCCAAAAAAGAAAATCTACCACTTACGGGCTATTCATGCCTGTGCCACCTCTTAGGTGGCTTAATCTTCATCAATCAATCATCATCATCAGTCTAACTCCAAGAGTGGTTCAGTACAGACGCTTGAGAGACACCTCACATCTTCAGCACCATCCATATTCAGCGTGTACTGGTGAGTCACTGGTGTGGCTCCCCGTCACACCAGTGCTCGCCAGCTTCACCTGCGAACTTCTGTAGACTACATTTCTCCAAATATATATCTTGTATTACTGCCTGTGTTTATTGTCACCACAAGTGACGTAACAATAAAACGTTAGACACCCATAATGGTCACTGGGTGGTGGTGGACACCCATGGTGGACACACTGGGTGGTGGTGGACACCCATGGTGGACACACTGGGTGGTGGTGGACACCCATGGTGGTGGTGGACACCCATGGTGGTGGTGGACACCCATGGTGGACACACTGGGTGGTGGTGGACACCCATGGTGGACACACTGGGTGGTGGTGGACACCCATGGTGGACACACTGGGTGGTGGTGGACACCCATGGTGGACACACTGGGTGGTGGTGGACACCCATGGTGGACACACTGGGTGGTGGTGGACACCCATGGTGGATACACTGGGTGGTGGTGGACACCCATGGTGGACACATTGGGTGGTGGTGGACACCCATGGTGGACACCCATGGTGGACACACTGGGTGGTGGTGGACACCCATGGTGGACACACTGGGTGGTGGTGGACACCCATGGTGGACACTGGGTGGTGATGGACACCCATGGTGGACACACTGGGTGGTGGAGAGTTCCTGTGATGGACACTGGACGATGGTGATATAATGTTGTGAACACACTGGCTGGTATACTCGCCTAAATATACTCACCTAATTGTGCTCGCGGGGGTTGAGCTTCGGCTCTTTGATTCTGCATTTGTGTACCGGTATACAGATTCCTGAAAGCTGGTGGTTAATGGTGGTTAACGGTGGTTAACATCTTGCGATGGACACACCAGAGAGCAGAGGGAGATACCAGAGGGCCAGGAATGAGTACCTCAGAGTGAGGCGAGAAGCAGACTCTGTATGAAAATAACATCACAAGTAAAGCCAAGACCACAACCAAAACTGCTCCACAGCCACATCAGGAGGAAAACATCAATGAAGGAACGAGTGATGAGACTGAGAAAAGGGGGAGAACAGATACTCAGAGAATGACAAGGTGTGTGAATAAGTCTACAAGAGATTCCAGGAGGTCTTCACAATAGAGCAAGGAGAAGTCCCCATACTGAGAGAGGTTGTGGTAAACCAAGCAACCTTGGAGAAATTTGAACTTACCAGTGATGAGGTAAAAAGGAATCTATTGGAGCTGAATGCGACAAAGGCTGTTGGGCCTGACTGAATCTTACCATGGATACTAGAAGAGGGTGCAGAAGCACTGTGTGCTACTCTCTTATGGTGTATAACAGGTCACTGGTATACCATGCAAGGTGATGGTGAAGAATTTGAGGAAAAAAGCTTGTAGAACATATAGAGGGAAGGAGCTTTGTGACACACAACCAGCATGGGTTCAGTCTGATTTTTTTATCTGATTTCTGATCAAATTATGTCTAAATTTGGCCGTTTGCCCGTAAAGCCGAAAATGGACATAATTTGAAAATGAAAAAAATTGAAAAAATTTTGGATTTTTTCCGAAACAGTAAGTTAAGGGTCTTCTGGTAGGTTAGGATGGCAGGAAATTCTCCTAAAGTTTCAAAACGTCATGAAAAATGTTAATTTAAAGTTTCCTCTCCTAACCCTACCGAGTAAGCCTGAGGACTCAAACAGAAAATGGGACAGTACATCACTTTTGTGAGCAAATTTAATTTCAAATTGCTTCCATTTTTTCCATAGCTCGCATTAGAGCGAAAAGCGACGTTATTTTTACGAGGACGGGTTGCCGACCACCCATGGTGTACACACTAGATGTAGTGGACACTGGATGATGGCAAACGTGCCATATGAGGCAAGCAAGACTCGTGGGTTACATAGAAAGTTAAGCTAGGAAAAAACATGCACATGGAGTGCCACAAAAATTGGAACATACACAAACACTATAATAGCCTACAATACAGAGTCCAAAAGAATAACAAACATTTATCAGAATTTGAAGCCAGGAATGACCAGGAAGCATAAGGGAGAGTTGTGTAAGTTGCACCAGGAACATGAATGAGATAGCCGACTGGCTGATGTCCTGGATTACCGGGGCAGCCACATGTTGGTGGGAGTGTAACTGGAGGCCGTAACTGGCTAATGACTGTGTACAGAGTTGACACAGTTACCAATGTTTCACAATATAGTTGCTTGTTTGGGAGGGAGGGGAACCCAACCTTTCTAGAGTCTTTTTCTTCTTGGTTTAGGTTGATCTTGTATCCCCAGAATTCCTGCACCTCTAATGAGTGGACCAGATTCTGCATCTGGTCTCCAGTGGGTACTTATGACTTACAAGGCTTGGGGCTGACCTGGCAGGTAGCTCTGGAATCCACTGAGGGCACCCACCAGAAAGAGGTGTTTCATCTCATTAAATGCTGGATTTTTTTATTCATAACTTTTCAACAAATCATCATAAATACAAGCAGTTGGATAAAGCTGAAAATGAATTTAGCCAAAGCTAAGGAAGCCAGTCAGTAAAGTACAGGTATACATTTTTACTTTGAAATTGGTTATTTCTTAATTTCAAAATTAAGTATAAGCAACATGCAGTATGTAATCTATATGCAATTAATATCTTCTACAGCCACAGTCAAACCTGATTATGGACTTGAGGAATTATCATCGGCTAACCTAAAACAGAAGTTTGCCATGTTTGAACAAATATCAACTGAAGAAGAACATAGGCCGGACCCAATACCAGTCCGTCGATCTCATTCTCTTCTCAACAGAGCTGCCAAGTAAGAATCTCTCAGAACATCATATCCAGTCAGAGAGCTAATTTTGTACATGTTGCTCAATAACAATTGATTATATTTTTGTTAAATTTATAATGTATTTACAGTCTTTGCAGTCTGTTCTAACTAAATTTTGAATTTCATTGTATGATCATTAAAAGTTGTGTTAGCAAGGTGTCAGGTAATATTTTCTGAAAGGTTTACCACAGTATTGCAGTCAGATATGACCACATAACAGTTTTACATGGACATCAGGTTAGATCTTGCAACAGTTTAGTATAGCATCATTAACAGTCAGTGGAGCTTGCAGGTATGGTTCTCACATGGATTAGTATTCTCTTTATAATGTGCATCATTTCATCTCATCCCTTCGCCTGCGGTCCCGCCTTCGCCTGTTTCTGAGGGGTTCCCGGGTCACGCGGCGGTTGCTCGAGAGTTTGTGCAGGAGCCTGAACTTTGCCATGATGGTCTACCCGCCGGGTTGGGTGTGGCTTCGTCAGCTGTTCTGGTTCCTTCGGGGACGGCCCTTCTGCCTCTCTCGCGATCATTGGGTTCGGCCTCCGGGGGCTTTGCGTCAATTGCTGTGTCGCCGGCTTCCTCTTCGGGTTTTTCAGGGTTCAGTGCCTTGGCGCCTACCCGAGCCCTCGCTCGATGTGTACATGGACGCGTCGTCTCTTGGCTGGGGTTTTGTGACCAGTGCTCACCAGGCCGGCCAGGGGTGGTGGGGTCCGTCCTTCTGTCGGGCTCACAGCACGGTCCGGGAGTTCGCAGCGGTGTGGATGACGCTCTGGAGGGTTTGAGTCGCTCGTGGAGTGACGATCCGGCTCCATTCGGACTACTCCCCGGTGGTTCATTGTCTGAACCGTGGGGGTTCAATGCGGTCCTTGGCTCTTTGGGGCTGGTCGCTTTGGGTGACTTGTCTGCTGAGTTCTCGGGGTTTGGCTCTTCTGGTGGTTCATGTCCGGGGGTGTCCAACGTCCTGGTGGACGGCCTGTCCCATTTTCTTTCCCTTTCCACAGAAGGGACGGTCGATGCCGACTCCTTCAGTTGGCTGTGCCAGACGTTCGGGACTCTGGATGTGAATCTCTTCAAGTCAGCGTGGTCGAGACATCTCCCAGTATACGTGGCGCCCTTCCCCAACTGCGAGGCTGTCAGGGTCGACGCCTTCAGGCAGGACTGGGCGGGGTGGAGTTACCTCTACCTCTTTTCCCTGGTTCAGCTATTGCTCCAGGTCCTGGCTCGCTTGGAGACTTACCAGGGTCAGGTTGTCCTTCTGGCTCCGTGATGGCTGGCCCAGCCTTGGTTTCAGGCGCTGCTCGCTCGGTGTCAGAACCTGAGGGTCTTCTCGCGGCTCTGCTTCTTTCAGCTTATTGGTCCAGCCCGGTATGAGGCTGGTTTGGTCTTCTCGAGTCTTCACGTCTGGTATTTTTGACTCGGGTTTATCATCACTTACTTGTATAGTGCGCAGGTGGCTTCGTTGTTGGTCTCCCACCTGCGTGCTTCGTCTCGGCGACAGTATGAGGTTTCTTGATGGTCCTTGTGGTTTTTTATATCACTGCATAGGTATTCTTCGGTCTCTGATAGGGTTGTTCTGTTCTTTCTCTCTTGGTTGTTTCAAGACCATCATCTTATGCCTAATACTGTAGCCTCGTATCGTGCGGCGTTGGCAGATCCGCTTCAGCTTGCTTTCGAGGTTGATGCTACTTCTGCCCCGTTTCGCAAGCTGTCTCATGCGTTGTTTCACCTCCGGCCTGCTTATGTGCCACCTGAGTCGTCCTGGTCCTTGGACCGTGTGATCTCGTTTCTCTCTTCTCCTCGGTTTGTTGTGGCCCCTTCCATTCAGGATTGTTTTTCTAAGGCGCTTTTTCTTTTGGCATTGGCCTCTGGGGGTCGGGTTGGGAAGCTTCATGCTCTCCTCCGGCGCAGGGGTTTGTGTTCCTTCTGTCCCGGTGGTCATTTTGCTTGCTTGCAGCCGTCTCCCTCTTTTCTGGCGAAGAATGAGACGGCTGCCTTCCGGAGGGGGCCTTTGGTGTTGGATGCTTGGTTGGTCAGGTTGGGGGTGCATCATGTGTTGTGTCCGGTTGTGGTTCTTGACCGTTATTTGCGCGCCACGGCTTCGGTTGCCGGGGATGCGCTCTGGGTGGACCCAGTTTCCCTTCTTCCCTGTTCCCAGGCTCGGGTCACTCAGGTTGTCCGCATGGTTATTAAATCTAGCCAGCCTGTGGTCTATCCCCAGGCCCATGATGTTCATAAGTTTGCTGCCTTGGCTGCTGTCGTGGGTGGACATTCGGGCCCGGGGTTTTTGGAGGTCGAAGGTTTTTGGAGGTTTTTGGCCACTTGCTACCAGTTGAATGTTCCTGGGCTTAGGCGGGCCTGCGTTACATTGGGTCGGCGGTTGCAGCCAGTTGTCTCGACTTCGCGTTGAGGAGTGAGGATGGACCGCCTTCCGGGTAAGTCCCTGTTTTTCCTTATCTTTGGGTAGTTAGCTCTGGGGAGCCGACGGGGCTTCCCCCAGAAAACCAGCGTTGAATGTAATGAAACACCATTTTCTGGGCGAGTCCCGGAGGCTCCCCTGTTTCCCTCCCTCCTTCCAGTCGGCGGTGTTTTTCGCATTTTTGACATCCAGCCTAAGAGCTGTAAGGTGGGCCGCCGGCAGTTAGGTCTGGGGCTACCCCCTTCTCCCTCCTGGGGAGGGGGGGTTCCCCAGACAGCGGCGCGGCAACGTGACAACGTCATGCTCGTTGCTAGTGTTCGTTTGGGAAGTTCTGTCAACTTGTTCAGTCTTCGGTCACAATAGTTTTTCCAGAATAGGGGTATGTTTTAGGGCCCCTACCTCTCTGGGTGCCTATCCCAGTCGATGGCAGACATAGAATGCTCTCAATAATAAAGGGGGGTCTCTATAGGCCATTGCTCCTCGTGCCTCTCTAGAGGGGGCCAGGTTCTGGCTCGTGATCCCCGGTAGGCAAGAACTCCATGCATTGACTGATGCCAGAAAGTTATACAAATCCATTTAGCCTGGATAGCTCCGGGGAAGCCTCTGGGACTCGCCCAGAAAATGGCGTTTCATTACATTCAACGCTGTTTTTTTTGTGTATTTTTAAACATTTGTTCATCATCAGTTAGACTAACCTTAAAGTGGCAGTTTACCAATCTTTGATTGACTAAACTTGGGTCCTATTCTCATCATACTAATGCCTTCTCCTGTACAGTTGACTGAAGTAAAGTATCATCACAGCTCATCTTCTAAATTTACTAATAAGACTGTGATTCCTGCAACAACTTCATTTTTTAAATCTCTTTTCTTTCCCAAGGTTCATGCATTTAGAAGATGATGATTATGGGGTTGAGAACTCAGAACTTGGTGAATATGAAGAGGATGATGAAGATGAAGATGAAGAGGAGGAAGATGAAGATGGAGAGGAAGGTGATGCAGAAAATGGTGAAAAAATAAAAACAAAGAAGGGACGTCCAGTAAGTAATTTGTTAGATGACTGTCTTGGAGTATGCACACTCACTCACTCACTCACTCACTCCTCATAGCATCACTGAGGGATATAAGCTGCTAGACACCATGGCTGACAGTTCAGCATATGGAACACAACCTAGTTAATTAAGCACTGTTTAGAGGTGTTTACCCAGTTTTTGCTTGAACATGGAGATATGTTAGTAATGACCCTTATATTTAGAGTGGGTTGGGGTTTTAAAATGCCCTGATTCCACAATGTGTATGGAATTGTCTCATAGAGTACTTTTCAGTGAGGCTATTTTGTGCAGACCATAATTAGAGCATAATATAAGACCATATCTCTTGTAAGAATTTCTATACTGTGCAAATTTGGGACTAGTCCTTCATAGATTTTTACAGATTTATACTAAGATGAATGTCTCACTTACATTTCAGGGAGGTCAATTTAAGGTATTTTAAGATGTTCCAATAACTTGGGTGTTGTACTGAATAGATTTTGTCAATAAATGTTCTCTGCACTATCTCCAGGTCAGTAACTTCTTCAGCCTTGAATGGAGCATGTAATGTATTCTATGATAGAGGTTACTATTGTCTGAAAAATTTCCATTATTGCCTTAGCATCTCATATTTGAAAGGTTGTTGTCATACAACCTTTATTGTCTTGTAATTATACCCATATACTGTAGTGGTCAAACAGTTGAGAGACAGGGTTTTCTAGTTCACAACTCATGGCCAGAAGTATGTAAATGTTATGTCTCATGTGTTTGTAATTTTAGTTCTTAGCACCCTGTAAAAGATTTTTAAGATGCATGAGGTTAGTACTGGTGGTCTATAATTCTTGCAGGAATGTTTATTGTCTAATATAAATGATCTACCAGGTACAAAGTTATAGAAACATGTTTGCTGATGATGCTAAGCTACTAGGGGAACATAAAAGACTGTGACAGGATAACTGTCATACTCTTCAAGATGACCTGGACAGAATAATGAATGGAGCAACACATAACAGATGAAATTCAATGTAAATGAATGTTTATTTTGGAGTGTGAAATGGGGAAAAATAGGGCTCACACAACATACAATTTTTGTAAAAATATATTAAAAGAACATGGACAAAGAAAGAGATCTAAGGGTGGTTTCTTTGTAGTAAACTGTCACCATAGGACCACATAAAGGGTATTGTGAGTGGAGCCTAAGCTGCGCTTTCCAGCTTCAGAATCGCTTCTTAATTCATGGGGGTGGAGAAATACTAAACAAATTGCTTACAACATCTGTGACACCAAAATTTAAATATTGTATGCAGCAGTTGTATGATGCCTATATCTCAAGAAGCACATCAGTAAACTAGGAAGAGTGTAAAAACATGGTACAAAATGACTTCAGGAACTGAAAAGCAAGATTTACAAGGAGAGGATGGAGGTGTATTGTAAGGAAGGGGTCTTTTATGGATGTTGTGTTGGAAACAAAACTGTAAATGTAAGTCCTTGTGAAAGTGGGCTTTTGAAACTTCCCACCAAAGGAGTAGCTAAGTTGCACATGAACAGTAGACATTCACCATGGGAGGACTGTCCCCACCAACTGAATATAAACTAGTGCTATTATATATATAAAGAAACATTCCCTATATATTCTATGATTGGAAAATCTGATGAAAATGTAAGTGTGTGTGGTCTGGTCATTATCTGAAAGTTCTCTTTTTTTTTTTTTTTTTTTTTTTTTGCAAACAGAGTTGTAGACAGTTTGAAGAATGGGAGAGGTGGTGCATGCTAAAATCATTAGTAGTTTCAAAGCACCATGTAAGAGAGACCGTTGTGAAGTGTATAACCCAGGTGAGAGACGCAGAAACAGCAGTGTTAAATGTTGAAAAACAGTTTGAAACTCTTGCCTTTGGAATTCTCGCCAGTACCATAGTCAGTTCTGCTCATGCGCAGAGCATTGTCATAACAGGAAAGTGTCATTCCCAGAACAGTGTAAACAGCAAAGAAAATACATGTTTTAAAAGTATATTCATTGCTGGAAAATATATAGAAACAACAGTGTTAGATGTTGAAAAACCAGCCTGGAACTTTATAAGATTTATATCTCCCAATAGTTCATTATATATGTGTATGAAACACTATTGGAAACGGGCAGTTAGACACAGATGTACTAGTTGTCTCGTTCACTTGGTTGGGAGCGGCAGTCAGGAGAAGGCAAATGTCACTTGTGTGGCATGTGGCGGTCTCCTACAATAATGATAAGTGCATTGTATCTCATATGTGCTATAGTGGTGCTCCGTTCCTGTGTTAGTTAGGAATAGGCAGTTTTAAAACTTAAGCTTATTTATGGAACCCTATATGTAGGTGGTGTCTGTAACTTGTGGTCTGTACCACATCAACTTTGTCCCCCATTTGTAAAGTGTTAAAGTGTCAGAACCTTGTATTGCTAAAATCCATACCATCTTTATAATTACCAAGGAAGGGTAGAGTGTTGTGGCAACCTTAAGTCCCAGTTGGTGTGGATCCATTATCTTTTCACTCCTAATATTTGTTTGCTGAGAAGTATCCCTTTGTATCTCAACATTCCTATAACATAACAGAGTGCCCCCATTTGCAGGCGATGAGTCACAATAACGTGGCTGAAGTATGTTGACCAGACCACACACTAGAAATTGAAGGGACGACGACGTTTCGGTCCGTCCTGGACCATTCTCAAGTCGATTGTGATGAGGACAGGTAGGGACAGGCATTAAATAGGGAGAGCTGAGGAGGAAAGTCAGGTGTAGGGGATAGTAGTAATGAGAACTGCAGCAGGCCTATTGGCCCATACGAGGCAGCTCCTATTATAACTACCGAAGGAGATAGTAATAGGAATAAGAAGAGGATAGCAAGGGAGCGTAGGAGAAGACAATGAACAGAAAAAGGGAGAAGAGAGAAAGAAAGGGAAAGAGAAAGAAAGAAATGGAAGGGGGAAAGCTTATGTTAAGTCACGTTTGTTAGAAAGATTAGAGCATTTGAGTATATACTGTGAAAGGAAGAGTCCACAGCAACAAAGCCAGGACTCAAGTTCATGTTGGGTACATTGTTAATAAGAGCCGATTCTACAAGACGGCGTCTGTGTAGAGTAGAGGCAGGAAAGATTATTTAATGCCTGTCCCTACCTGTCCTCATCACAATCGACTTGAGAATGGTCCAGGACGGACCGAAACGTCGTCGTCTCTTCAATTTCTAGTGTGTGGTCTGGTCAACAGAGTGCCCCCATATTTAGTCAGTGTAAAATAATCCTGTGTTGTTCAATAAAACCCCATTGTGAGATTGTACCCCAAGGTGTATTTCTTGTCCCCGTGTAGAATAAGATTTCTTGCTTTCGACTTGTGCTTTTGTCGAATATGTATATACCCTATACTGTATCCCTCCTATTGTTTATAAAAAAGTAAGAGCGAGTTTGTTAGTTGTACTTTAGGGTACGGCTTCCAACCATGTGCCTTACAACCATGACAGATTATAGAGAAGACAACACAATAGCTTAGCTCTCATCCTGTAACCATACTTAAGACAATTACACATACCCTGTGTATACATACACACACTTCATCATCCAAGCATAGACTCATTCTCCTCTCTTGCCATTGCTGGCCAAACATCAAAATGTGTGAGGTTTCTATAAAATAAATTAGGATGACTTGGTTGAAATATTTCCATGATTTTATAGACAGTATACCTGCTATCATGGATGCCATAAGTAACAATTGACTTTCTAATTTAAAAATGAATTGAATATATCAGCAGCATCTAAACAGCTAAATTTTTGCTAAGTATCTTTTGTGAGAAAAAATTGAGATATTTAATTTATCAATCTGTTCTTTTCAGACAAGTTTTAGTGGCATGCAGGACCTTAAGGCAGGTTGGGCACAGAAGAACCGACGGGAAGAAATGTCGCGAAAACGTAGAGAAGAATTGTCAAAGTTCAGACAAATGCTTTGTGCTGTGAGTCTTGTTATACTTTTGATTGTATGTTTGATTGAAGTAAAGTAACTTGACTATCAGTGCCTATACCTTTTGTATCTTTGTGCTTATATTTATCTTTGGTGACACGATACTTTTGGTAGTCATTCCTAGATTTTGATCTTTAATGTATTCTTGCACATTTTGTATTTTGCATGTGGTCTATGCTTGTTCCCACCCATTTCCATCACATGGCATTTGTCCATGTTGATGTTCATTTCCCATTTATCATTTCATTTACCCACAGCACCAATGACCTCTGATTTTTCTTAGCATTTTCAAGATCCATGGTTATGGTATTTCTTATCCAGTCTTTACCTGTCTTTACTACTTTACATCTGTCCATGTACTGGATAATCTGGCTACTTCTGTGCCATTAATTGTTTCACAATGGTGTTGCTTCTGGCTTGGGTATCTGAATTATTTTTCTTTGGAAAAAACACTTGGCATTTTTTGATTTAGTTTGTCCTCTTTTTTCTTTGTCTGACACTATTATATTGTTCGCCCCCGAGCTTCGGGGGTGGTGTCCCACCTGCGAGCTTCGTCTCGCTGGTGGGTCACCAGGAGGGGTTTCTGCTCCTTTGGTACTGGTGGTATGTTTGTATGTTTGCAGCCTTCTCCATCTTTCTGGCGACAGCCGAGATGGCTTCTTTCCAGAGGGGACCTTGGATTATTGATGCTTGGCCGTGGGTGCATCGTGTGTTGTGTCCGGTTGCGGCTCTTCGCCGTAACCTGCGTACCGTGGCTGGGGATGCGCTTTGGGTTGATCCGGTTTCCCTCATTCCTTGTTCCAAGGCTCGGTCTCCCAGGTCGTCAGCAGTGTTCTTAAGTCTACCAGCCTGTGGTCTATCCTTGCGCCTGTACCATTTGGATGTTTGCAGCTTTTGTTGCCTTGTTTGATAACATGTCTTGGGCTCATTTTGGGCGTGGGGATTTTGGGGGTTGCACAGGTTCCTGGCTGCCCGTTATTTTGTGACCGTGTCTGCTCCTGGGTATTTTTGTGTTGCTTTGGGTCGCAGGTTGCTGCCTGTTGTCTTGACTTTGCGTTGCGGAGTTTGTGGCGGCCGCCTCCCGGGTTAGCCCTTTCTTTTCCTTCTCTCTGGAAATGTAGCTCCAGGAAGCCGTAGGGGCTCTCCACAAAACCAGGGTTGAATGTAATGAATCACCATTTTCTGGGTGAGCCTCGGAGGCTCCCTGGCAACCCTCCCTCCCACCGATCAGTGGGTTTTCGCATTGGTTTAAGCTTAGCTTCCGAACTGGAGTGCTAGGAGCCGGCGTGGTGAAGTCCGGGGACCCCCTCCCCCTCTCAGGGAGGGGATGGCTGCGCGGACGAGTGGCGCGGCAGTAAAATGTTATGTTTGCTTGTTTGCTTGTTTGCTTGTTTCCTTGGGATTGTAGGGAGTTTCTACCTCTCTGTTCGGTTTTTTGTTTAGTTTTTTACCATGTGGGGTTTGTTTTATTATGCCTACCTTTCTGGGTGCCTAACCCCGGTCGATTGCAGATAAGGAAAACCCCCAACCACAGGGGTTTTTCCAGGGCCATAGCTTCCTGAAACCTCTCTGAAGGGGCCAGGTTCTGGCTCATCGTCCCTGGTAGGTGTGAACTCCATAGCTAATGTTCCGGTCTAATATAACATACATTAGCCCGATAAGCTCCAGGGAGCCTCAGGGGCTCACCCAGAAAATGGCATTTCATTACATTCAATGCTGGTTTTTTGTCCGTTGCTGTTTGCAGAGTCTGTGGTGGTGCAATTTCTGCAGGGGGGGCTTTGTTGAGTTGCTGGCCTATGTCAGACTTGTTGGTTCTCTGGGGTGGCCGTGGTGGTCCTGCTCGGAAGGTACCAGGTCTCGGGGTTGCTTCAGTTGTCGTAAGCCAGTAGTGCCAGATTCGGGACTGGCCCCTCCTGCGGAGCTGTCGGTGTTTGGTCGGTTCAATGATCACTCTGAGTGTTGGTCGGGCTCTCGTAGAGGTCGTCGACCCTTTCACAGTTTGCCTCGTTGACGTTGCGATAGGGGGGAAGGCTCGCACTGTTTGCTCTCGCCTGGTCCCACAATTCGTGGGCATTTCGGGTTGTTTCTTCTGGCCTGCAATGACATTGGGTCATTCCTCCTCCTTTGGGAGGGGGGGGGGAGGGGCTGGCAGGGCAGTCCTCTTCTGCTGCGCTCTATTGGGTCATCCAGGAGTGGGTTTGCTTGGGTGTGGTCGAAAAGACAGCGTCCCTCAGGTGGGTCTCCCGCCTGTTTTAAGTTTCGAAACTGGACTTTGCGGATCTGCGATTCATATTGGACTTGCCCCGTCTGAACCCCTGGGTCTTTTGCCCCTCCTTTCAGATGACCACTCTGTCTCGGGTTTGGCTGCTTTTGGTGCCAGGTGCCTGGATGGTGTCTCTGGACCTTCAGGATGCGTATTTGGCACGTTCCGATTCATCCGTGGTTTGGGGACTGGCTCGGTTTTGTCGTGGGGCAACAGGATTTTCGCTTTCATTGCCTTCCATTCAGTTTGAATCTGGCACCTTGCGTGTTCTCATGCCTTACCCAGGTGGTGACCCGCTTGTGTCTGTTAGGGGTTCAGGTTCTGGCTTACCTCGACGATTGGCTGGTGTGGGCTCCCAGCCAATCCAGATGTCTGCTTATCAGGGATTTGGTTCTTTCCCAGCTCGTTGGATTCGGGTTCTTGGTGAACTAGAAGAAGTCCCATTTGGTTCCTTCTCAGATTTGAACTTGGCTGGATCTTGTGTGGGACTCTTGGACCGTTTCCTTGTCTCTCCCTCCTGTGGCGTTGTTGTGGCTGCGGTCCAGCCTACGACTGTTTTTGGAGGGAACCCGGGTCACACGTTGGTTGTTCAAGCGGCTGTGCGGGAGCCTGAACTTCGCCATGCAGGTCTACCCGTCAGGTTGGATCTGGCTTCGGCGACTGTTCTGGTTTCTTCTGGGACGTCCCTATCGCCACTCTCGCGATCGCTGGGTTTGGATCCCGAGAGCCTTGCGTTAGCTGCTGCGCCACCAGCTTCCTCTGCAGGTTTTTCGGGGTTCTGTGACATGGTGCCTCTTCGAGCCCTTGCTCAATGTGTTTACGGATGCCTCGTTTCTTGGCCGAGGTTTTGTGACCAGTGCTCACTAGGCCGGCCAGGGTTGGTGGGTTCCGTCCTTCTGTCGGGCTCACAGCATGGCGCGGGAGTTTGCGGTGATGTTGCATTCGCTTTAGATGGTTCGTGTCGCTCGCAGAGCAACGAACTGGCTCTTTGGGGCTGGTCTCTTTGGGTGACTCGTCGGCTGAGTTCTATGGGTTTGGCTCTCCTGGCAATTCATGTTCAGGGGGTGTGAAACGTCCTGGCGGACGGCCTGTCTCGGTTCATTCCCCTATCCACAGAATGGACGATCGATGCTGACTCGTTTAGTTGGCTCTGTCGAACATATGGGTGCCCGGAAGTGGACCTCTTCGCAATGGTGTGGTTGAGGCGTCTTCCAGTGTATGTGGCGCCCTTCCCAGACTTTGAGGCTGTCGGGGTCAATGCCTTTTGGCTGGACTGGTCAAGGTGGGGTTATCTGTACCTTTTCCCACCAGTTCAGTTGTTGCTCCGGGTCCTGGCTCGCTTGGAGACTTACCAGGGAAGAGGAGTCCTGTTGGATCCTTGTTGGCAAGCCCAGCCCTGGTTTCAGGCGCCTCTTGCTCGATGTCCGAACCCGAAGGCCTTCCCGCAGCTCCGCCTTTTTCAGCAGATCGGTCCGGTCTGGTACATGGCTGGTTCGATCTTCTCCACTCTTCGCGTTTTTTGAAGCGAGAGGAGCTATGTCTAGCTCCTCTCACCCTCTCTCATCTGTGATATGTTCCTGTGTTTGGCCACCATGTGCACCTTCTGTGTCTCAAGCATGGTAATTCCACCCATCAGTTGGGTCGGGTAATCGTTAAGTACCTGTGCATCAAGGAGGTTTGTTTTATGTCATTTCCTTGTTAGGCTGTATTTCTTTCCCATGCAGTTCAGACCATGACTGTGCTGCTAGCTATTTCATGGGAATTCTGTGGACTTAATGTTTCCTGTAGTCATTCATATATGGTTGGTCTGGGGTCCATGCATCAGGGAGCTTATGTAGTTTATCTGTAGTTTATTCCAAGAGTTCTACTCTCCAAGCCTAACCTGGAGCCAGGCTTATCTTATGATAACTTGATCAGTTGAGCTGTTGTTTAGATAGGCCCACAGGCCCACATATCCATTACAGACCAGTTGGTCCCAGAGATTTTTTCTTATTATGTCTTGCTCCTCCTTCTTCTCTGTTGGTTTGGGTGCCTATTTTGATGACTTTCTGTTTTTCCATCTTGCCCTAGCTCCATTCCTAACCATTTGCCATTTGTCTCATCTTGAGACCTCATTCTGTTATTGAGACCTTCTCAATTACAGAAGGATCTTGGGCCCTTCTGTCAGTGTTCCTAGTGGGGATGTCTAAAGTTTCTTCCCATCCAGTTTGCTCCTGCCTCCTTAGTGCCCCCTGCAGGGCTTTTTCCAAATGCTTGTGGGTTCTTTGGTTTTATCTCATTTGGGGACCCTGCAGTCCCCCCTCTGTTTGTTAGGTCTTTAGTGGATTGTGCTCACCTAGTTGTGCTTGAAGGGGTTGAGCTTCAGCTCTTCGGTACTGCCTTTTGACTGTCAATCAACATGTACCTACCTAAGTGTAGGTACAGGATGAGAGCTATGCTTGTGGTTTCCCATCTTGCTAGTACTCTTTGTTGTTTAACTCTTTGAAACTAATGATGGGTTTGGCCTCCACCACCTTCTCACTTAGCTTGTTCCAACCGCCTACCACTCTGTTTGCAAAATAAAATGTTCTAATATTTTTTAGACCTTTGGTTCCTTAGCTTGAATTTGTGTGCTCTTGTTTCTTGAAATTCTGGTTTCAAGAATTCCCCTTTGTTAATTTGGTTGATTCCTGTTAGTATTTTGTAAGTGGTGATCTTGCTCCAGCTCTTTTTCCTCTATCTTTTAGTTTTGGCATGTATAACATCTCTACTCTCTCTTCATAACAAATGTTTTTTAGTTTTGGAAGCATTTTGCAACATGCTGTTGCACCTTTTCCAGTTTATTTATGTGCTTCTTGAGATTTAGGCATCATACAACTGCTGCATATTCCAGCGTTGGTCTCACAAAAGTCATGAACAGTTTCTGTTCATGACTGGTTTTTCACCATCCATGTAATTAAAGGCATGTTTGAAGTTGGAAAGCAATGCATACTGACTTTTATTTTATATTATAAGATTTTCTATTTTCTAGGGCAAGAATATCACTACTAGAGAAATGTTTGAATCTGGTAACTTTGATGAACAAGAGAAGCAATTAAAGCGGAAGGAGCCAATTGCTATTGAGGGTCGACCTGCTGCAAAAAATTTGAGGGAGCGTTTCGAAAAGGGTCTGTCTATGAATGAGGATGAGGATGATGAAAATCTTGACCGTAGAGAAGTAGATGATGTTTTGAAAAATGCAGGTAGGTCATTTTCTGACTTTTATGTATATGTTTCTAAAATTGTACTGAAGTATTAGAACATTGGAAGGAATATTTGCAAAATAAAGTTTTCAGTAAAATACAAAAAGGCACTTTTATGAGCAGTAGCATTTGGTTGTTTCTTAAGGTAAGATCTGCTGTGTTGTATTACCAGGATTAGAAACAATTTTCAGGATGATAATATAGTTTTGCTGCCACATGGAATTTGTAATCATCCATGCAGGGTCTATGGAGTCACTGGAGATTGCTCAGTCCTGTCTTGAATGTCCATAAAACTCAAAGATTTTCAAGCTCTCACTTGGCATTCCTAGTGGGCAATAACAGAAGGCTCTCACAAACTGCTTAATTGTCTTCATGGCTATCTGCACCCTACTTTCCCACTATCAGGTGGCAGCATCATGTGCACCTCAAGATTTCAAGACACTTGAAATCATTCCACATGATCCTTAGCTCAAAAAATAAAATAAAATAAAATCAACTGTGCACAGGGAAGTTGAAAGAACAGGATTGGTTCAAAAGAAATTGTGAGAGGGCCAGAGACTAAAAGACACGAAAATGGAATCAATACAGGAAGAGGCCAACCCCCAAACATACCAGCACTACAAAGATGCGAGAAACAACTACATGGCAGTGAGGAGAGAGGCAGAAAGAAATTTTGAAAAAGGGATTGCAGATAAATATAAAACAGAACCAGGTCTATTCTATAAATTCATAAACAACAAATTGTAGGTAAAGGATAATATTCAGAGGTTGAAAATGGCAAATAGATTCATGGAAAATGAAAAGCAAATGTGTGAAACATTAAACGAAAAGTTCCAAAGTGTGTTTTTACAAAATGAAATCTTCAGGGAACCAGACACAATAAGAATTCCAAAGAACAACATAGAGCACATAGAGGTGTCTAGAGACAAAGTGGAAAAACGCTCAAGGAGCTAAGTAAGAACAAAGCAGTTGGTCCAGATGGAGTTTCACCTTGGGTTCTGAGAGAATGTGCACTTGAGCTCAGCATTCCACTTCAACTGATTTTTCAGGCATTCCTGTGTACAGGAGTTGTAGCTGATGTGTGGAAAAAGGCTAACATAGTTCCAATCTACAAAAGTGGCAAAATGACCCCCTCAGTTATAGACCTGTATCATTGACAAGTGCAATAGTCAAAATATTTGAAAAATTAATTAAAACTAAATGGGTAGAACACCTGGAGAAAAACGATATAATAACAGACAGACAATATGGTTTTCGATCTGGAAGATCCTGTGTAACGAACTACTCAGTTTCTATGATTGAGCCACAGAGATTTTACAGGAAAGAGATGATTGGATTGACTGCATCTATCTGGACCTAATAAAGTTTTTTGACAAAGTTCCACATAAGAGGTTGTTCTGGAAACTGGAACATATTGGAGGAATGACAGGTAAGCTTCTAACATGGATGAAAACTTTCCTAACTGACAGAAAAATGAGGGCCGTAATCAGAGACAATGTATCTGACTGGAGAAATGTCACGAGTGGAGCACTACATGGTTCAGTTCTTGCACCGGTAATGTTCATTGTCTACATAAGCAATCTACCAGTTGGAGTACAGAATTATATGAACATGTTTGCTGATGATGCTAAGATAATAGGGAAGATAAGAAACCTAGATGATTTGAAACCTAGGGACAGGCAATTTATTGCCTGTCCCTACCTGTCCTCATCACAATCGACTTGAGAATGGTCCAGGACGGACCGAAACGTCGTCGTCCCTTCAACTTCTAGTGTCTGGTCTGGTCAACATACTTCAGCCACTTTATTGTGACTCATCGCCTTTCATGTTGTTTATTGGTGTGCTAAACATTGCCTCATACTGGCTTCTTAGAATTTCACTAAGTTCTTTGTTGTCCTCTGTGTACGTACCTTCAGTTGTAATTAAAGGTCCAATACTGGTGGAAGTTTTAGATTTTGATTTTGCATACATGAAAAAATATTTTGAATTTTTCTTTATCTCTTGTAGTAGTTCATAGTAGGTCTAACTTGTAGCAGAACTAACTTAGCAGTAGAACTAAGATAGTAGTCCTAACTCTTGTAGTTCGTAGTAGTTAGGAAGTTTTGGAGGCCCCAAACTGGGGCTCAATCAGGGTTTTCTAGCCAATAGGCCACACTTGGGCCTGTGGTAAGGGCATTCACACTCATAATGCCCCAGTCAGATCGCAAGTTGCTCCATTGCCCCAAAGTAATTTTCATATATATAATATATATATGCATCAGAAAACTCTTTACCCCTGAAGGATTCAAACCTGGACAGCCAGGGCTCCATGTCCCTTGGCGTGTCCAATACTGTATCGCTAGGCTACACGGACTGTAGAAAAGAATTGAAAGTCTTCTGATACTTAACCCAATTCCCGACAGCTCTTGGTGACCATTTTGGACTTAGATATTTCATCAAATCACTTCATCATGCTGGGGCCACACATGTATCACTTGTACATCAAACTTGAATGGTCCCCAAGCTAACATGCATCAGAATCCTTCAGGGGTAAAGAGTTTTCTGATGCATGTTAGCTTGGGGACCATTCAAGCTTGACGCACAAATAATACTCTCTTTTGATACAGGAATTTTTTTTCTGCACACTAGGGTGAAACATGTGGCATAACTAGCTAGTCTCTTATGGTTTTCAATTGGGAACTTGATAAACACTAAAGGCTACCTAATCAACCAGGCTCAGATTTATGTCAGACTATGAGCAGTTTATCAAAGGAATAGTCTTTCTGATGGGAACTAGACATACTGGGCAAAACTGGCAATTTCTTGAGACTCGCCATTTAAATTAAGAAAAATTAAATCTCACCAGATGGTTAGCTAAAAGTTATTGAGACTTTATAACATTTTGTTAATTTCCTAATTACAATGGTTGAAACAAATACTATACTAAGATATTATATCTATAGTTCATTGTAGTTAAAGAACTTTTAAATTAAATATTATTAAATATATTATAATTTGATTATTAAATATGATATCATAATATTTCAGAAACAGCTAGCAAAGCTCGTAACTTATTCAAGAAGATAGATTCAGCAGTGTCAGAAGAAGGCAGTGAGCCAGTCATGCGCCCTCGTTCCTCTGCACAAGCAAGAAAGGAAAATAGGTTATCACGAGATGTAAGTTACTTCATGATGTCCTTTTTCTTCATTTCCAACCTGAACACAAATATCAAATTCAGTGAATTTTACTGTATGTCACAGCATGCAGGAATTTGGTTGTTGATAAAAGTTTACAAAAGAACTCCAAGTATTCTGCAATAATTTGTCTTCTCATGGGTTTAGCAAGATGTCTTCAGGAATAACTTATAGTTTGGTCTTGAAAGATTTCATGCCTTTCCTACATTTAGAACAGTTCAGAACTTTTGACAATTTTCACAGTAATGGTAATGCTAAACACCAAATCATTTCAGTGTTTAAACCCAATTGGATCTGAGAAATTCATAGTGTCAGAAGATTTGTTCCAGTTTGTGTTACATACAAACACACATTTTATGTCTAGACATTCTCAAAATATGTTGGGTCAAAATTAAATGTTTTTAAATAAGGAAAATTTCACCTTTCTTGCCAGACTCATCATTATCTTTGGTAGCTTTAGATTTTAGATTATTACTTATCTTTAATTACAGTATTTGATAACTATTTTTAAATCAAATTTTTGTTATCTCATTTGATAAACATTGAGGAATAACCAACTTTATAATTCTTGAAAAGTCACTACATATTAAAATGCAGTAGCTGAGGTGGTCAGCTATTTAGGTAACTCGTTGCATGTTTCATATAATGAGTGCTGCTGAAGAAACTTAAATGTAAGCATTAATGTGCCTTTATATTAATGTTTCTTTGATCATATTTATATTTATGAGTGATAAAATAGTCATTTCTGGGTGGAGCCCTGTCGCTCCCTGCAGCTATCGGACTGATATCCGCAATATTAGTCTAAAGCATCAGTTACTGGAGTCCATATGCCTACCAGGAACCACAAGCCAGAACCTGGTTCCCTCAAAGAGGTGAAGGGAGCAATGGCTTATGAACACTCCACTGTTTGAGAGTAAGTATAGTTACTTGTCTGCTCGCAAGGGATTTGGTTCTTAACCAGATCGCCAGGTTCGGCTTCCTGGTGAACTGGAGGAAGTCCCATTTGGTTCCGTCCTAAGTTTAGATTTGGCTGGTCCTGGTCTGGGTCCCTTCCTCCTGCTGCGTTGCTCCGGCTGCGGTCCCGCCTTCGGCTGTTCTTGGAGGGGTCCTGGGTCACGCGTCGGTTGCTCGAGCAGCTGTGCGGAATTTTGAACTTTGCCTTGCTGGTTTTCCCGCTGGGTCGGGTTTGGCTTCGGAGACTTTTCTGGTTCCTTTGGATCAGTCCCTTCCACCACTCTTGCTGGGTTCGTCACCCGGGGTCCTTGCATCGGTTGCTGCATCTCCGGCTTCCTCTTTGGGTATTTCAGGGTTCAGTGCCTTGGCGCCTACCCATTCCTTCACTCTATGTGTTCATGAACACCTCACCCCTCGGCTGGGGTTTTGTGAACAGTGCTCACCAGGCTGGTCAGGGTCTTTGGGGTCTGTCGGGCTCACAGCATGTGCGGGAGTTCATGGCTGTGTGGCACGGGAGTTCATGGCTGTGTGGCGCGGGAGTTCATGGCTGTGTGGCTCTTGCTGTGGCAGATTTGGCTTGCTCAGGGCTCTGTGATCTGACTCCATTCGGACTGTGCCTTGGTGGTTTATTGTCTGAAATGGCGGCGGTCGCTTCAGTCCACAGCTCTTTGGGGGCTGGTTGTTTCAAGTGGCTCATCTGCTAAGTTTTTGGGGTTTAGCTCTCTGTGCTGTTCACATCCAAGAGGTGTCCAATGTCCTGGTGGACTCAGGTTTGAGAGTGCACTTGCTCTCAAACAGTGGAGTGTTTATAACATTGTTCAACGTCTCAGCTCATTCCTCTGTCCATGGTGTGGATGGTTGACGCTGACTCCTTCAGTTGGCTTTGCCGGAAGTTTGGGTGCCCGAATGTGGACCTCTTTGTGTCGGCTTGGTCTTGGGGCTTCCCAGTGTATGTGGCACCCTTCCCCAACTGCAAAGCCTTCCTGGTAGATGCTTTTTAAGGACACCCCCAGGAAGCAGCTCGTAGCAGCTGTCTGGCTCCCAGGTACCTATTTACTGATAGGTGAACAGGGGCATCAGGGTGAAAGAAGTTGCCCATTTGTTTCTGCCTCCACCGGGGATCGAACCCGGAACCTCATGACTACAAATCCGAAGCACTGTCCACTCATCTGTCAGGCTTCAGAGTATTGAGTATCTACTCAGATACTCAGATATTTGCTGAGTACATACAGTATTAAAAACCCAACAATTCTTGGAAGGGGTGGGGTGGGGTCCCCAACACGCGCTCTTAGCCTCTGTTCGGTCTTTGGTTGCAATGTTTTACCAGTTGGGGCTTGTAATGGTTCGCCTACCTTTCTATGATACCCCCTGGTCGATGGCAGACATGACAATACTCTCAAACAGTGGAGTGTTCATAAGCCATTGCTCCCTTTGCCTTTCTGAGGGAACCAGGTTCTGGCTCGTGGTTCCTTGTAGGCATACGGACTCCAGTAACTGATGCTCTAGACAAATATGGCAAATATCAGTCCGATATCTGCAGGGAGTCAAAGGGTCTCAACCCAGAATATGGCGTTTCATTACATTTAATGCTGGCTTTTTTCAAAAACCAAAAAGTTAAAATTTCCAGTAACTTAAAAATATATGATATGTTGGAATATCCTTCATAATTAAAATTTGTGTATTCTCTCCATTTCTCTATTTTAGTATTTTATTATAGCTAGAATTGGTATGAGTACTTCACTTCTTCTTTCATTTATTGCTTTTCAAATAATATTGTGAAGTGATCTTGCAAGAGTTTTTCACAGGTGTTGCTGAGGAGCTGTCATCTGATCACTTACACACTTTTAAGAAATTAACACACATTATGCAGTCAAACCTTGTGATTCAGGTCATTTTTATATTTGAGCATTATTATGTGATGGCATAACAAAAGGATTGGAAGTTTTTTTTATATTTGTTCTGTCGGCTAAGTCATATAAATATTTTACTCATATATGTATATACAGTATTCTTTCTTTTGATCTAGAACTTGAAGAATAAATAATCGCTTTCTTAATTTATTAAATGAGGGAATGAAGCAGCATATAGACAGAATTTCTTATAGCTCAATCCCATTTCTTCTCACTCAGCTGATTTTACTTATATGAAGCAAGCTGCATACAGTATGTACAAATTACTGAGCTTGTGAAAATAGGCAATTCGTGACACTTTTAATAGCTTGCAAGAAACTGAATTGTTGGGAACACTTCTTTGGAACAAGGGAAGATATATTCAAGACCAGAGCTATAATGTAGTTTAATTGTGAAATTGGAGATACAATATTCATTCGCTTTAAGGACCTCTGATTTACCGGCTCAACAATTCTAACAGCTGATTTTAAGATCAGTAACTGGAGCCTTATTTACAGTCATTGACCTCGTACTCTCCTGAATATAATTTAATAAGTTACCAACATTTTAAGACCTCCGGGTATAGCAGATCCCCAGATTTAATGAGTTGGGTATAGCCATGTAGATCTGTAAATCAAGAAGATACTGTAAAATGGAGTCTGCATAAAATTATGGGTGTAATGACTGGGTTCTCGCAGAGGACCTGCAATTGCTCCTTGTACTTGCATTAGTCTATGATGAGTTACCCAAAGAGCTAACAACAAAACACAGATATGCTAGTGGCTGAGATAATAACCTGAAGTAATAATCTCTTCCACTATGATATTGTAATCTTGCATTAAGGGTCATGATATCGTAATCTTGCATTAAGGTCGTAGTCCTGCCCCAACGAAAGTTCGGTAGAGGGCCAGAAAAATATCCGGCTGCGATTTTTTCCAGATAACACAAATATTCGGATCAGTGGGTTTTGGATAAGCGAGCTCATACAGTACATAAACTGTTATCACTGGTAGTTCAAAAAAGTTATGTCAAAAAGATATGTATATATATAAAAAAAACTGAGTACAATAGTTTTGTAACTATTGATTTATGTGTGAAATGATTTGTATTTTGTAAAAGAAAATCCATTTTTGATGGTCTAAATACTGACCTTAAGTTATTTTCAAGTACTCTAAAAGTGTCACTTATAGGAGGCCTTTAGTGCACTTGAAAATGTGTTTGGGTGAAATTGTAGTGTTGTCTCAGTTATCTCATTTAGCCATAGTAAAGTACGTAGATGGTTCAATGTTTGGAAGCTTTTTGTTCTGTAGAAATAGAATTTAATGTCAGAGTAATGTTAATAATTTTCATTTGGAAAAACAGTAATGGCTTACATGAGTGAAGAAAAAATTAAGGAAATTTGCTTCTCTCATTTAAGATTGTTCTAAGAAATCTGGGAAGAAATCTTATTGTTTACATAAGGCTGTTGAGGACAGATAAATCAGGTGGTGCAATTCTTTTAAAATCAGTATGGGAAAATTATATGCGCCAACAGGTTCTGTGCATGCTAAGATCTCTTGAAACTCTTGTTGGTAAATATAATGGTCTCCATTTAAGCTTAATTATTTGAAACTTATGATTCACACAGGGAAGGAATTAAAATACATACAAGGTTTGACTGTTTCACTTAGTTTAACTTTTTCTGTATAATAGTATTAAAAGCTTGTCTGTAGAGTTCAATTGTTTTTGTAGATTTTTGTATTAAATCTCTGTAGTATAGATGTAAATAATAAGTCTCCCAGGAAAAATACACACACACACAGGACACAATGGAGCAGGATGCAGATCTAACCAGTCAGTGTTGCTGGTGTGTTGCAGGGCAAGCGCATTCGCAATTTCACTTCGCAGGTGCATGGTGAACAATTAGAGGACGGCAACGAGGATGATGAAGTATCCATTGAAAATTCTTCTCTTGTCAACCGCTTTAAGTTCTTTGCCACCTATGAGGAGCGCGCTAAAAGAGAAGACAAGAAGCGGAGGAAAGCTTTCCGCATCACACCTCCACGTGATGGAGAGGACAAGGTTGCTGAAGAACTAGTTAAGGCGCATTTGCCCAAACGTTGCATGGCAATTAACTGTGCGGTGTGCAAGCTTCGGGTAATTTTTTCATGGTTGTTTATTATACAACCCATCAGACTCAGATTCCCTCTGCCTTCCGTAGCTTATAGTCATCGTGTTTTGTCCTTGTGATTGTAGTTGTCTTTGGAACCTTCTGCCTCATGTTGTAACCCACACGAATTCCAGCTGTAACAGTGCCTGGTACTACTCAGCCTGGCCATCCCACACAACTGCAGGACCAGCCAACAATGTATTTAAACCTCTTTGTACCCTATAATAATCTCTTATCCATAAGATTATTAATATATATAAAATCCACGGTCTGCAATATTATTTTCTGTAATACTGTACATTAATGCTCTAGGTATTGAAAATAAATTTTAATTGGTTATGCAGCAATTGATATCGTCATCATTATTTTGACATGTTAGTGTCATCGTCATGGAGCCATTATTATCAGCTCATTATTTTGCGCATATTTTTTATTACATTTATGTTGAAGTGGCATATGTAGAATTTTCTACACACACATTTCTTCAAATGACCATTTTCTCTTTACAAGTTTTGAAGACTCGACAACCATGAAAATTTCTATTTGTTGATTAGGCTCTTATATAGTGAAACACATTTTTGCAAAAATAAATAATGGATATGCGCAAAATAAAATGAAACGTAAGAATAAGTATGAGCAAAGAGAAATAGGAATGGATGAATATGTATAAAAGTGTGAATTAATACTGTATGCACAAAACTCACACTTGAATTAAAGAGTAAGTATGTACAAGAGGAAGTAATAATCTAAGAATAAGTATGAATAAGAGGAAGGGCAGTTGAAACTGACTTGTGAAATCCCTTTTTTGGCCTATGTAATGTGTATGGGAGGCAATGCACTTCTTTGGTGGGGGTTAGGGAAAACTGGAGTTTCAGTGCAACCTTCTTGAGGTTATCTTGAGATGATTTCGGGGCTTTTTAGTGTTCCCGCAGCCCGGTCCTCGACCAGGCCTCCACCCCCAGGAAGCAGCCCGTGACAGCTGACTAACTCCCAGGTACCTATTTACTGCTAGGTAACAGGGGCATTCAGGGTGAAAGAAACTTTTGCCCAAATGTTTCTGCCTCGTGCGGGAACCTGACTGAATCTGTCAGATTGTTTAGTTGAATTAGTGAAGTGGGCCTTGAGGAGACTACCACTATTGGTCCCTGATGTGCTCCTCAATGGTGACGTGCATATACTCTCCCTACTACCACTGGAGTATATGCTCTGCATCTGCCTACCTTGTTGGGCTTCGTGGTGGGGTGGGAACATTTGGATGTGAAGGCTTTCTTTGGCTTTGTTATAGATAAACCTGCCTCTCCTTCATCCTTTCAGACTCATGTGATGGGCAACCAGGCCCATAAGCCTTCTCCTTCTGGAATATCCACTCCTCCATTGCACTAAGTGAAGAGTACGACGCCACCTCCCTCACCAAAGTGGCTCCTCCCAACATACTCCTGTTCCTGTTATTCCACTATATACACACATTGTATATACCCATGTACATATGTGTTCACCATAGCGAACCACTAAGCTAGTATGGTGAGCAAAACAAGAGTGGCTGCCACACATAGTGAAGCTTTCTGGATTCCCTCCCTCCCTCCCTCCCTCCCTCCCCCACCAAACTTCCTCCTCCTACAATACTATGCACAATGCTAATTATCACCACAATCCTGCTATTATCACAATTCTGGTCACTAAATCCTGTAAATGAATAATTAAACATGAGTTTATTTTATAAAGTAACATAAGAAGTCGTATGAAGATTCCTAGATGGACGAAATAATGCTGTGGTGCTGTGGCTAGCACTGTGAACATCGTGAGCAGCATTGATTCACTGATATTTGAACATTGTACACAGTCATTATCACACTCAGGCTCTTATGTAATATTATCATGGCTAAATAATGCCAGTTATATATATATTTTGACATTATTAGGCAATGGTGTGGTCACAAGCTGAACAGCAGTGCCGTGAGCTCATGCTGCATGCGCCAGCCTTGGTTGCTCACTCAGTACTGAAGCTCTCACACCCGGGAATGTTGCCCATGATTTTTTTTTTTTAAATGGAGTCTGTTTACAAGAGCCCTGAGGAAGCTGATGTGAACCTCCATGTAGTCGCGGGAGTTTTGAATCATACGCTAAAAATCTAAGGTCCCGGAGGCGCGTTGCGCACCCCCCGTCGGGCGCCTGCAGGCACGTTGCGCAGTTCAGTGGTTAAGTATAAACATTGTGAGTGAAAGAGTTTAACATTTGGTTGTGTGCTCACAGGCAATGCCCGCCCTATCTTGCAATGCAATGCAGGTCAGCCCGTGTTAAAAAGGAAAGTGTTAATTCTTCATTAACAATTGCAAAAAAATAAAAGGTTGAACTCCAATACTATGCAGAGCGCCTTCCATATAACAGATTCCTTTAAACAACTGATCAAATCTACTCACTTCATCTTCCCTTCACAATTAAGATTTGTCAGAGTAAATTTGGATTCTAGAGGGGGGGGGGGTGTGGTGAAAGCCTTTATCATCATTTTGTCTTGAAGAGTAATTTCCATCAGATTATATTTTCTGAGAGGTCATCCTCAGATTTCTGTTGTTATAGCACTGTGGCTGACAAGCCTTTGGGGAATTGCATTGGGCCTTTGAGGCTACCTGAGTCTACTGAAACCAGGATCAGAATCTGGCTTTCTCTACATGGTGAAGGAAGCTTGGGAATAAGATGAACCCAAAACCAAGGAAAACCCACCAGAAAACAGTCCATCTAATTACCCAAAGGTACCCAAAGTTTCCTAGCATTATGTAAGTAATGAAGAAATGTAATAAGGTATATTTACTCACTATAATGTTGGTGCTGAATGTAGAACATGAAAAAACATATTTTTACCCTGAAATGATACTTTATAACAAAATTGTGTCCATATAATTATCCAAAGCCACAACATTGTCACTTGGATCGTCGACTTCCTATGGCGTCAGCTGCCACCTGGTTTTGTCTCATTTCATTAAAAAGATTTTATTTCAGAGTAAAAATGTTTTCTCATGTTCTAGAATCATCACCAATATTATAATGAGTAAATATGTCATATTTCTTCATTACTTATGTAATGCTAGGAGGCTTTGGTTAATTAGACAGATCCCTCAGAAATTATAAGTGCATCAAAACAAGTGACTGCTTGAAGAAAATTAGTGACCTAAAAGAAAACATGACGAGCAATTGTTGCTGCAGAGTAAACATCCCAGTCATGATCCACCCGCCTAGCACTGTATTTGACATTCAGGCAACACAGGCCAACTTGCCTGCAAATATCACCTGCATCAGAGGAGTTCCAGAATAATTCAAAGGCCTACATATTGTAGGACAGGTTGATGATCATGAGTGGTGTCCTAAGAGACTTAAATGTCTAGTGAATTTGAAAAATTTCTGAGATAAAACAAAGGTGCAAAGTCAATGCAAGAATTAGATGAGTAAAAGTTGCCAGAGTAAACAGTTGCAGATGACGAAAAACCAAGATGGCAACTGGCAAGTAGAAAAACAACAAAAGAGCTTGACTTTTGGCGACTTTAATAAGGATAGTATTAGTATCAGTGGTCTGCACAACAAGTTGGCAAAATAAGAAATTATTGTAAACTATCTTGTGAAAATAATCAGAAATTTGAGAGAAAGTAATGACCACTTGAGTAGCAAGATATCAGCTCTTGAAGAGTAAATGAAAGAATTATGCAAGGACAAGAGTCATTGGGAAGCCAAAAGCATAGGCCTGGAGGAGGAAAATACTCACTGGCTGCCACACACAGACGGTTGGAACAAGTTAGGTGAGGTGGTGGTGGAGACCAAGACCGTCAGTAGTCTCAAAGCATTAAATGACAAAGAGTGCTGGGAAGACGAGACACCACGAGCGTAGCTCTCATCCTGTAACTACACTTAGGTAATTACTTGATACTTGATATTACTGAGGGGATACTCATTTTGGAGACGAGATAGAAAAATTAGGAAAATTAGAGGCCTTCTCCATTCTGGTGAAAGAACACCTAAAGGTAAGCAAAATAATTATTGCCAATCCACAAGAAGTTGACATAATAGCACTGGAGAACTGTAATCAGGATGATCATAAATCATAAATGCCTGCAGTACACTGCCATGCAACACATTGACAAAGGAGGAGCTGTACAACAAATGAGAGGACCTCATAACAATCAAGAGAGAGCTTTTAGTAGGAGTGGATAAAGATAGATCATGACTGCTGGGACTCAGTGACTTCAGCTTGAAATCCGTTGACTGAGAAGCCTACAAAGCAAGAATGGAGGACTTTTGCACCTGTAGATTCATAAACCTCATCCTGGAAACATTCATTTATCAACACATTAAAGAAGCTACGAGGATGAGGAAAGGGAATGTTCCTTCAATACTGGATTTGATATTCACCAGGTAAGAGGAAGAGATATTTGACATTCAGTACCTTATCTCCTTTGGCAAATGTGACTACAGTATGTCCTTTTGGAAATAAAATACACAGTGTATTATAATCTAGAAGAGAATGAGGAAAATGAAGCAATCGAAAAACCTGATTACAGGGAAGGACACTATGGGGAACTTAGAACGTTCTTTAATGAATTTAATTGGAAAGCCTTACTGTTAGGCAAGGAAGTAATGAGATGTATGTCAAGTTTTGGGAAGTATATGATAAAGGCAAAAACAAATTTATACCAAAACAGATGCAGATGTAGGAAACAGGATTGGTTCACCATAAATGGCAAGAGGGCCAGAGACCAAAAGACACAAAAATAGAATCAATATAGTGCTCATATGATTGAGAATTTTTTAGAAAGGGACAGTGGACAAATATAAAACAACTAGGCTTATTATATAAATTTATTAAGAGCAAATTGCAGGTAAAGATAAAATTCAGAGGTTGAAAATGAGAAACAGGTTCACAGAAAATGAAAAGGCAGTGTATGAAACATTAAACGAGCAGTTCCAAAGTGTTCTTGTGCAAAATTAAATTTTCAGACAACCA